TGAGACACTTGGAAGCACTTCGCGAGGTGAAAAGGAAGACTGACCAGCCGTAACCTGAGACACCCACCCCCCACCATACTGAGGCTAAAATTTACTGTCAATGCATTTGTACTGTCGGTGTTCTCATTGACCACGGCCCCAGAAGCATTTCTTGGAAGGGTCCTACTTGCTGTCTTTTCTTCGGAAGAGTGTCATGGCTCAAAAGAGAGTGGTCAGCCATGGTCCGTATACGTATCCAGGTAGATAAGTCACAGGCAGCTGGCTTGCTTAAGGGAACTGGAAAATCCTGATTTCGAACCTTCCAAGAAGACCGATACGAACTGACTCCGAGAACTCCTAATTGCGATAGCCATCGACTGGATCAGACAATACGGCTTATTTGCCACCCTAGGCGTATGCACAACACACTCATTGGGTGTATGATCCAACGGATCCAGCACCCGTCCCTAATGGATTGCGGTTTTCACACCGTGTCGGTTTTAACTAGTCCAAGGTGCCGGTTTTAAATACCCCCAAAATCGTTTGCTTTTGTGTAGGCGATCCGGCAATATAACGTTCATGAGCGGATTTTAAACGAATTCCTTGTTAAAAAGATCGTCAGACCCTTGATTTGTTTTGTACACACACACACACATATATATATATATATAAAGACACTCTTTTGTAAATTCTGCGTCTGAACTCTGATCGATAAATGACTAATCGCCTAAAACACAAATGAAATTGGTAAACTCCTAACATCCCCTAAAAGGATAAACCACATAGTCCCGACAAAATGTTGTTGGTATCAACCCACAAACCACAGTGCTACTTACCATCGAATGTCGATACGCTTTTCCAAATGACGATTGTTGTTATCGGTTGGAAAATGTGCTGTTCAATTTCAGGTAATGTTAATGCTTCGGTTCAAAATTTCTGCTAGAAAGTGAATCAAGGCGTAAAAGAATGCAACTATCTACTTGTGTGCATATTTTTAAACGGAAATCTATACCACCTCCTTTATTTAGTGTGAGATGCTAAGGAAACCGGCAATAGTGTTTGCAACTCTTCGCATAGATCAATGTGTTAACGTTTGTGAGAAAACGGAGCAAAACGAATATCCCATCTGTCATTCGTGAATTCGCAAATTTTTTCCCGGCAAATACGAACTACTTTCGCAACGTCTCGCTCTCGCTTGCGATGATCGGGTAAACCCTTTCAATGTGTGTGTTCAAGTCGCGCGCAATCGCGATGGTCTGGTCATTGTCTGTCTGTTGATGCAAAAATTGGGCACAGAACAGAATTTATCAAAACTAATAGCATGCGAACACTACTCGTTCTTATTAATCTGATTTTCGGAACATAGGATACAATGAATCATCGTATTTGCTTCACGAATAATAATAATTTGTTTTCATTTCTACTGTCTCAATTTATTGAACTTCTCCCATCACCCTTTCTCTTCCTCCGGTTTTTTCTTCCTTGTCTCTGCTCATGCATGGATCGAACTTCGTATCTTCTCTCTGTCGCACACGTACCGACAGACAGTATATATGTGTGTATATGCGTCAGGTAGAGATCATTGTCCTGTCTGTTTTTTCTGAATAAGCCCATTAGTTCGGTGTTTTGCTCGTTAAAGTCTGCGCGTTTCTCACTGTCTCGTTGCGCACAGTTCTATACGACGTAGTGAAATGTTTTCACCTTATAGTCCGGGCGAATAATACTTTTTATTGCATGCCCCACCGTCGCGAACCCCCCCCCCCCCTATTCAGTGGTGGAGGCCGGCGCATGGAGTGGTGAACCGCATGAGGCTGCACTAGGTCAGGCGTGTCATTGAACCGGACGGTAGGAACGCTGCCTACCACCGAAGTTGGTTGGCGGGGTTCGAACTTCGGACCATAGGGCCCAAAACACGCTGGTGACATCGGCTAAACCACTGCACCGCCATCACCACAACTACCGCCCAGTTTTCATGGAAAGAGCCTGTTCACATATACTATCGAAATGTTGTATTAGGTCACAGAATTACACGGTCAATTAACACCAACAACGGTGTTCTGTCAGATTGGACTAGTTACCCAAATCATTTACTGGAGGCTCAATTCCGTCAATTATCGCCTAACGTCATTAGGGCCAAATAGGACAACGTGATCGACTGTGTAAACATATTCTTGCTGAGATTCGAGCTCATGCCTGGGTGCCGCCCACAACTTTGTACGACGTATTTTCTTTTTGCTCAGCTGCGAGCCTCACGCCAACAGTTTGTATCTTTCCACATTGATTCATTCTCTTAACGTGTGAACTCTCTAGAAAGCATTTTAGCCGTTTTCAGCGTCGCTTTTTTTTCTAGATTGATCTGTTCGTGTCCTGCACAAAGTCATTGTTCCCGTGCACTCTTTTGGCCCCTAAATTTTCTACTTCTACTTTGTTTACTGAACTGCTATCTGATGGTTAGTAGGGATTTTGTTCTGAAGGCGATTTGGCGTGAATTGGGTACACTAAGAAAACCGCAAGAAGGTACGAGTAGAATGTAGAATGCACAGCGTCAACAACGGGTCACTATATGTGACCGATAACCAAATATTGTCCACTGTGGGTGTAGTTGCCGTAATGTCAGAAACTCTGTATCGGGATGTGACGCAAAGAACGCATCTGTATTTTTTTCTGAAAACGGAATGAATCCCATTTTCATTTAGTTGACAATTGTTTTCTTTCATGAATTTAATCCGTCAGCAACGTAGTGATTTACTCTTCCTTACAAGATACGTTCAAGACGTTGTCAGTTTGAGTTTACTTACCTGATTCATAGGTTTATCTCTTATTTAATAACATCTAATATGAAACTTTTATCTGAAACACTTATTTGCCATAATGTATCATGAAACCGATTAGTTTATTGAATAATCAGTATGACATGCCGCCTATCTTTGCGAGCAGATTGTGAACCAATGCACGCCTGTTCATTTTAAAAACGTTGTTCTGTCTAATGGTCAATTTGAATGCGATCTGAAACAGTTAGATTACCGCAATAAACTGTCGCTGGCTGTTACTTCATACACTATTGTGTAAATACTATTCGATAGGATAAACGCTATAATCGCTACCAAATTCTATCATGCACATTGATTATTTATCCGTTCTCATCGTCTTTGTCCTTCTGCTATCTTCGCTTTCTAGATCCTTCCTCTCTGGCCATTTGGAATACACCGGAACAATTTCCATCTTCGAGTTTTCACTCGTCCAAGGTTTGTTGTTCCAGCTGTATCGTCAGTATCATTTTCTGATGCGTAATCGATTTATCGTTTGGTCATTTATCACCACCACCGTCGCCATTATATTCGTCATACAGTAATCGATGACAAGCTCCCAGTGCATGAGAAGTAAGAAATAACGTGTAGGTGGTTATGGGATACTGCCGTATTGGGGGAAGGCAGAAGCAAGTAAACCTCCATCGTCCATATACACACTCGCAGACTAAATGTACATGACCCTCGTCCCGTGAATAATTCTGTCTTGATCAGGAATGACAAAAGCACCAGTGCAGCTGATTCACTGTCAAATTCTCCAGGGTGTCTGATTACTCAGTGATTCCGACCCCAGTATGAAATATTGGGAACATCTACTTTACCTAATCCCCGTGCATTTCTTCATACCAAGTCTCCACCTCATCTGTTAACCTCCTCCAACACAGAGCACCGACTCTAACATTACGGGAGTGTTGAGCATGAGCGATACACATCCTTACGAAAGAAGCCACGTCATCCGAATCTGGTGCGATAAAGAAGTTTCCTACCATGAGGCGTCCCCAAATAGATTGCGGCTTAATTCGCCCCCTTCACCTTACTTGCGTCAAACAACCAGGCAAATATGAACAATCTAAAACCTTAAATCAACGAAAGTCTTCCACGGTGACTCAAGATCTCACCATAAGGCGGAACTGATTACACTGTAACACAGTGTCCACGGCCTTTCAAAAGCATGTCGACAATTCAGATATTTCAGTCCAGTGTGCCCTACTGGAGCCTTGGGTATATGTGGGTCCACCTCTCACTGTCGTTATTAATGACGTATATGCCAAGGCGGGAGAAACAATCAGTCATAGTCCAGTCGTGGCCATCGAACTTCAGATTAGGTAGATAACACCCAGCCTTATCAATTATCAGTATTATCAATTTACACCTTCTCCAAGAGCTTCTGTCACATATTTTACAGTCACACCACAGTATAGTATCTACGCCTGACTGCTTTGTGGGTTAGACTTTTAAGTCAAATATTCCTCTCACGTTTTCCAAAGAAAACCCCCTTCGTCGCTGTGGGCTACCACGAAGTATGTCGTGCCCTAAACACTCATGCACTCATTTTTTATTCTGTTTGGTTCCTCCTCTCACTCCCAAGTCATTCCAGATGCTTCCTGCTTGCGCCACTCATGAGACCTCTTTCAGCGTTTAACTAGTTATGTCAAAGAATAAAAAAAATTATTGATAAAGCTAAACTAGCCTTTTCACTTCATCCGATTCAATATCTGCACACTGTCAGGTGGCCGACTGGCCGCCTTAGCTAGAACCCTTGATTTAAGTCACTCGGCAAACGGGGAACGGTTGTTGACTCCATATTCCGACCACCGCCTATTCCTCACCAGTACAAACTTCAGACACGCCGACTACCAGTACGCCACTTGGTGTCCACCCTCCTCGAGTAAGTGACAGTCACAGACAGACCACTTCGCTATAAGCCACAAATGACGGGGTTGAATACAAGACTACCGATCGTACTTGAACTCTCCCCTTGAATCCGATCATCCGTTAGTTTGCGCCAAGCTGTCCTCGTGCCTTGGGCGTTCCAAACGGATGACACAGTGACGGTTACACTGCGATAAATTCTCTCGATCAGCATGCCTAACTGTCTTTCAGAACGCGCTAATTGAAATGCTCGAACCAACCCTATCTGAAAAGGTCAGTCAGTACTTATCGCCTATCAAGAACGCTATGCATTCCATTGGCTTAGTAAGCTGTGGCCTGACACGTTGTGTTGTGACATTCTGGATTTCCGCTGAGTCTCTGCGCTTTCTTGACGCACGTCGGTCAGTTTTGACCGGCCGTGGGCCTAACGTAGCACGACTTGCAACGAGAAGTGAACTTTACGTAAGCCTACGCAAAGATCGCGAAATTTGATGGTCACAACGCGTGTCAGAGGTGGAACGTGCTGCCGCCGTCGGAAATTCCCGTAAGCTCTTCCATCTCATTCGAGTCACCGTTGGGAAGGCTTTAGGTGTGAGCGAAAGGATCTACGAAGCTGACGGGTCGCTTATTCACAATCAACAGTAACGTCTTTCATGCTAGGGGAGGGGGAGCACAGTTTAACTGGTCACCAAGGTTAGCTTCTCACACAACTGTTCCGGCACACACCTCGTGGTGTGTTACAGCAGACCCACCATAGACAGATCCGCAAGGACGTCACCAAGTGCCGGGCTCCGATGACCTTTACCCAGCTCTGTTTGAAGATGGTGGAATAAAGCTTGTCAGAGAGCTACAAGTTCTGTTTTCTAAAGTTTGGAATAATGAACAGGCCCCTTAGGCGGGGGAATAGATTGTTTTTCCCATGTTTAAAAGGGCCCGCGCAATGTTTGCGCCAACCACAGGTGTATAAGCGTCATCTGAATGGTGCCAAAGCTTTTAGCGTCCGTTATTCTTCGTAAATTGTGCAAGACGCGTGAGGATCATGTCAGAGAAGAGCAGACGGGGTTTCGCTCCGGTTGTGGACGCTTCGATGAAATCTTCACCCTCCGACAGTTGTAATGGCACCGTCATGCTTACCACAGACTAACGATCATTGTGTTCTGAGACATTCGCGCGGCCTTCGACTACATCAATAGGACCGCACAATAGAACTGTTTGTTTAAATCTGGAGTATTTGCGAAGTATGTGTTGGTCTTCAAAATGTTGTATCATCGTACCTCAGTTCGGGTTGGGGACTGTGGCCAGTTTTCACCGTCTCCACTAGAGTGCGACTAGGCTACCCATGTCCCCATTCCTTTACAACTTTCCCATAGGGAACGTTTTACAAGACGGTTTGTCCAGTGAAGCAAACGGCGGAGCCGAACTCCTCCCAGGGAACAGAGTTCTTGACATGTAATAGACCAATGTCACCGCCTGCTGAGTGACAATAAACAGACAGTCCAACACGAAATGATGATAGAGGTATTCAGATACAATATGTGCTTTACACCATCCAAGTGCAGAGTGCTAGTACAAGACAGGCATAAGCCTGTACCTACCTTCGTGGTGATCAGCTGGAAGTGGTTGAGTCTTAAGTACCTCGAGAGCTTAATCACAACTGGAGGTGGTATTGGGGGAAGAGCTCACATCACGAGTAGCGAAAGCCAGAGCAGCTTTTGCCAACCTGCGACACCTGTGGCGCCGCCATGACATCCGACTGTCGCTTTAGGTAAAGATGTACATCACCGCAGTTCGTGGTTTATCTGCTTTACGGTTGCGATACCNTGCGATACCTGGCCTCTCCGAGCGGAAAATGCTAATCGACTTTTTGTGTTTGGTCGGCGATGTCTTCGAAGCGTTGCTCATGCCTGGTGAGAACATCGGGTGAGCAATAATGAAATTCGTCCTCGCGTGCTGGTTACTGATAGTCGTTCTCTAACAGAAGTAACCGCTCTACACCGCCTCCGATGGCTCGGTCATGTTTTGCGTATGCCTGCCCATCGTCGAACTCTTCGTGCTCTCCTTGCACGTGCTGCGCCAAGCTGAAGGAAGCGTCGCGGCGATCAGACCATGAACTGGCATAGATGTATGAAAAAGTTAGCCTCAGTATTGGCTCCAGCTGGTGCAGCCCACCATCCAGGCTGAGGCCCAAGGGATGAGGATTGCCGATGGTTAGAGACGCTGAGAGGTATAGCTCAGAATAGATATCGCTGGTGCGATTGCTTTGCGGTTTGTTTGTCGAAACCCCGCCCCCCGAACTAGACAAAAAACATCAAAATTTGTACGGTGAAACTAACAAAAAATTATGCGTTAATTTCTTCTTCCCTGTTATGGTTTCCCCATATTCCTTTCATTCATCTATATCCCTTAGCATCCTTTTTATAATTGTTGTAGCGTAGACATGTTTCTCCTCAAACCGATGGGAAATATATATTGTATTGGTTTCAGATTCACTATTGCTTGACAGTAATCCCTGCGGAAGTAAAATTGCAAGGCTGGATTTCTAACAATGGTGATACCTCAATCCTGCAATGGATACCTCTGCGGCAGTTTGGTCGAGTTCTCATGAAATTGAACTAACTAAATTAAGTTCCGCCCCAACATCCACCTCAACTATGAGATATCTTCGGGTGGCTAATTACAAATATGGTTTTCAACATTCCAGAGCGAAATTGAGCACCTAGGTTTGCTAACATTACGCGAAACTGGAATCTCCGCCGGATCGTGGTGTGCATCGACCTGGCCTGCGTTAGACAGCCAAAATCACACATGATTAGTTTTGTTTCAGATAGGAATTTACGGTTTTTGATTTTACACCTCTTTGAGTATATGATCCACTTCATTCTTGAACATTCTGTTTTCTCCACTTGCAGAGCATTGCTTCGGATGAGGCCAAACCGGGCACTTCGAAAATCATGAGTGTGCGCAGTCCCAGTAAGTTACCTTTTATGTGTCTGCGAGGTATTTCTTGCTTCATCTGCTACTGACTTCATTCACACTTATTCATCGTTTCTGCATTCCGAACACGCGATTTGGATTCGAACCCATCACCCTCTCTCTCTCTCTCCACACACACACACACACACACNCACATATATATATATATATATGTATGTATGTATTGGGACACTGAAATGTCTGTCCTCATGGTACCTTACCGCTGCCTGTGTTTTAGTTAGCGTTCCAACACTCAAAGTCCAAGTTTTATTATGGGCATTACTTGCAAGCAGATGCTTTTCTTGTCCCATAGGGTGTTAAAACGAGTTGAACTGTAACAGTGATGAACAAAATTCCATATGCTGCATTTGGTTGTGTTTTGTGTTCTCATGAATGTTGGAATGCAATGTTTGTTAACGATTCGTCAAGTTTTACCTTGAAAGAATCAATCGTCTCGGCACATACAGCATGAGATGGTAGGGAATTCCAGACAGTGCACACTCTGACGGCAAAGGAATGACGTCGGCAGTCCAGTCGAGATTTTTGGAGTACCAACTTGAATGGATGTCCCCGTAGATGAACGTTGGATGACAACGTCAGAAGTCGGCGACAAGGGTGGTTTGGACTATGTAACATTTGGTATACCAAAATCAAGTCTCCTCGAATCCGGCGATACTGAACAGAGTATAGATCCAACGACTGCATTCTCACCATGTATGAATCGTGATTGAGTCCTTTGACCGTCTTCGTGGCGAGCCTTTGTGGACGTTCCGAAATCCTATGATCACGTCGTAACGATGGGTTCCAAGTTTGGATGGCATACTCCGTATGCGGCCGGATGTATGCTGACAACAGACGTGAGAATAATGATGGTTCAAAACGACCGAAAACACGTTTAAGTAGCCGACATGTTTGAGTGCGGTTGATGACTCCCTGGCGCAGTAATCGGAGCAGCTCAGGTCTTCGTGGACTATAACACCCAAGTCCTTCTCTGTTGATGCATGAGCCAGTAGGTCGTTTCCGAGGAAATAAGGAAACCGCTCATGGTGGCGTAACGAAATCACCTTGCGTTTGGAGACGTTAAATTGGATATCGTTCTCAATAGACCATTTGTGAGCGCTCAGACAGTGTGAAACGAGAGCGAGAGACCGTGTACGTGTTTGTTTCTGCGGAATAGTGGCATTCAGACCATCCGACAAATCTAAAATTCTTTACTGTGCCTTTACAATAAAACTATTTTTGTGTTCCGGAGTAAATAGCCTACGCAATGTGGTTATCTTGATATTCTTCGCACAGTTCATCTGGAACAGACAAGATTGGAATGGTTTCGTTCGGCTGAAAACTGAATAAAGATCTGCTTTGCCAATGGACCGTCGTAGGCTCTGGAATGGGCTAATTGTATCAAACATTAAAAGGCGCAAGGTTAATCGGCCTAGAAAATATCATGACGTGTACTAATACATCATCATTAGTCTTTAACTTGTCCACTCAAGGATACCAGGGTAAGTTATTTTTGTCGCTTCGATACGTTTCAAGTTGGTGTTATTTATAACTATGAAATTTGAAAATGCTCAAAATTTTTGTTGAAATAGATCTAACTGTAAAACATCCTTTTCCCTTTATCCATTTCATCAACACAAGAAGACATGTTGTGGGCAGAATTGATATTGGTTACATATGTCTTCTTGTGTTGATGAAATCAAATGGTGTTATTTGTTTGTTTAGTTTATACGAAAACGAGTTCCTAGAAAAGAAAAAGTTACCTCTTGCCTAATTCCATACCACACCCCCGGAAATGCACACGGACACGGAATTATTCCAATTCTGCTTATTGGAATCACATGATCCCAGCTTCCGCTTCTTATTCCCCGCTTCTCCTTTTTGGTTGCGTGAGCGAATGTGCACGCGAAACTCCGCTGGACTCACTAGTTACCATTGGTTTTTCATACTTATCTTGATCATGTTTCTACTTTTCCCCTTCCCGCAATCACCTAGATCCCGACGCTTTTGCCCCAGCTGCTCCTGCTCCTGCTGTAGCATCTCCCATGGCAGCAGAATATCCGGGTCGAAAAGTTGAGCGGGACTATCGGCAATTACCGCTGATGGAAGACGATGGTCGATTGACGGAAGCAGTGATTGCAGCCAGGCAGTCCGCGGTTGAGTCTCTGCATCAGCCCTGGGCGGCCCGTGCCTCTCGAGTGAATATTCTACGTCAACCAGGCGTGATTGCAGGTACGAAGTTATTAGGTGTCCACGAGTTGTCCTTATCGTAGTCGTATAGAAACACTGATATGTTGAAAAGCCTTGCCCCCCCCCTCCCGCGCCCCTAATGGAGAGCAGTAGTAACCCTGTGAATCTTGGCCAACCGAGCTACAAATATTTCGTTTGCACTGATACTTTTTCATATCAAGCGAACGCTTCACAAATTTGCGTATCTTACCGAACACCCACAAGAGATTCCTTCCGGAGTTTTGAAAAGTCAGTGTTTTCTGTTATGTGGTGCTGAGTCTAGACACTGGTGAATATTTTCTGCTTGCTTGCGCTCACCGTACAGTGTCGTTTTTAATCATGGTCTTCACCTACCGCACTATAAATCATTCGCTATGATGGAAGAAACACGGCAACGTTTTTGAAGGATGAGGGGGGCGATACTCTATCAGCCTTTGATAATCTGGCGTATTCGGTTTTCTAGTCGACGAAACTGCCTCATTGATAAAAATCATGTGGCAGTGACAATTGAACACTGGAACACTCAGCGTAATTATTGTTAGTTGTAGCACTTGACTGAAGTCAAATTGGTCAAGTACTATGTACTTTGTCTTAGTTAAAATGTAACCCCACACTAGACTTCATCGTGACACGATCCACAGGTTTCGGTTGTATAGGTGATCAGCGGGAATCTTTACACGTCCCGATAGTGCCGTACATGTTGTTCATTGACGGTTATTGCCTAAATGATTTCCAATGTTGTTATCACCTGTCTGTATCATCGTGGATTTCCTGCTAAGCGTAATCAGTGAATAAATCGATTGGTAATATGCATTCTTGTTTTTCTGCTGTATTGAGCTGACAGTACCACACCTTTTGCCATCTATCCTATCAGTTATAATGAGGTGAGTCGTGATTTGCTGATATGCTCGCGATGTGATACATTTTGTTCCCTCGAATTGTGAGCCGAATTCGTAATTAATACAGACACCCGGACGCACTGCGATTCTGGCCGAACGTGATTTGGCATTAGATTCACTTTCAACATCTATACACAAAACGTTTTTTCGAATTACGCTTTTGTCATCCTCCCTTCTCCTCATCCCATATTACGGTCCTCACAGGAATCGTTGGCAGTGCGGTCGTGGTTCTGCTCCTGTTGATCTTACTAATTTTGTTCTGTATATATCGTCTTAGAAAACGAGACGAGGGCTCGTACGCGTTGGATGAACCGAAAAAGACACCGAACGTGAACTCCTATCAAAGAGCACCTACGAGAGAATTTTACGCTTGATCCCTTTATCACTCCCGTGCTCATCCCACCCCACACGCCCACGAAACTATACATTTGTTCTACCCGTTTATTCAATACTAACCACTCCATCTGTGTTAGAATTGTCCCCTGTTGTGTATTTCGCTACCAAATTATCTCTCCTCCGCTCCCGCCTGATTGTAGTACTTGAGTCCGAAAACCGTGTGATACCCCAATCTTTTTAACGGCTTATCCGAATACGCGCACGTGCACGTATCTCAATATCGATTGATTTGTCTACCTCCTCTCGAGCAGCGTTCTCATCATGTGCAATAATTTCTCCTCGATCATGTTCATCTTGGCGTTACATTGCTGTCGGACTTTATCTCTCATGCATTTAATATGCATTTAGGGTGTATGTCATAGACCTCACCTTTGATCTCATTTCATTAACTACGTGTTTTTGCTGTCCCCTCCACCCGGTCTCATGCACCCCACACTATTCGCAAAGTTGTCCCTCGCCCATTTGGGGTCTGCGGTATTGTCTGGGCTAAATCATTTTTACCACAGAGCATTTCTTCTAATGTAGATCAAACCCCTGATGTATTCAAACCCTGACTAAGGCTATTGCCTCCTCCCATCCTCTACCCGCTCCGCCGTCTCCTGTCCGTCGTTATTCCTGGATTTCGCTATTGCTTTCTTTCATATGCATAATGTACAAATCAGATCAGATAATCCTTCCCATCATCATAATGTTAGATCTCATTGGTTCTCTTGTCGTCTTGTCCCCGTTTGCATTATCTGAACAATTCACTTCGATTCAACTGTATTCTTGTCATTTTATCTCTCACTTTGTCTAATTTAACGATTATTATTATTGTTTTCCTACTTTCTTGTCTCTATTTCTTTGAATTTCTTTCTATTGTTTCTGGTCATTATCTATTCTAGTCTATTTTACGTATGTATTCGTGTACGCATGTACGTACGTATGTATGTATATCCACGAGCATTTGAGTTAAGTTGTCTGTGTGTGCGTGCGTACGTGTTTATTTGTAAAAGACTCTACCGTTCTTTGACTCACACACACAACCATGTGTATTTGTTCATTTTGCTGAGTTTTGCTTGATTTGTTTGGATGTGATCCCTCCTGTGCTGCGCCCGTTGTTTTCCACATACACACGGATCTCTGCTCAGGAAATCGCGGTCAATGTTCGCACTGTCTTCTTACCTGTTACGTGTTGTTGTTTCTGATTATTCTTTGGGTGGTTAATCGTTCTCGACGCCTTTGATTCGCGAGGTCAAAATATATGGTAAAACGTTGTTGGACTTGCTATGCTGAATATCTGTTTTATGCTCACTCCGAGATTACTTTGGTTGGTGGTGGCGCAATGGTTTAGTCACTGTCACCGGTGTGCTTTGGACCCTATGGTTCGAGGTTCGAGCCCAGCCACCGCCACGCAACTTTGGTGGTAGGCAGCTTTGCTATCGTTCGGTTCAATACCACGCCTGACCTATCGGGACCTTATGGGGTTCGCCACTCCAAGTCCCGGGGCTTAAGTTACCGGTTCCCATCTCTGGACAGTAGGTCTTCATGACAATGGAGTCCGCTCCGACTGCTGTTCATCACACACTGGTGTGCAATAAAGTTAAGTGTGTATGCCCAGCTGTCATCGAATCTGACCCCAACATGCGTTTTCCAACGATCCGANTCCGAATTAAAAGGCACCTGGGAACACTGTCAGCATTCTTTTTGGTAGCGACAGAAAAAGTCCATTTACTAAGGGGGAACCGTGCTGTATTTTTTTAGGATTTCTCGCAGACTCGATTTTTCCGTAGTGGAAGTTACGAGAACATCGATGGGAAGAATGGGCAAGTCAGTTTGCTATGTTCTGTCCGTTCGTCTGACTCTCACAAAAAGTCCGGTATTTTCCCACGGTGGCGATTAGTCCCTATTCATTTTCAATTCATATCATGGGGATTATTAGTTTTCCCTGACAGAATACCAGATAAAATCTTGGTTATGGACTGCCGTAACTTTTGGATCAAATCACTTGAAGCACAGTGATTCGTGTAGGCTTCGATAACATCTCAGATTCATTGTATTCACAACGTTCACTTGGTGAGTGAAGTTTTTCTCCCAACACCTACAGAAATTCAGCCAAAATCAACAGAAGAGAGCAATCATTGTTTATGACTTTCCAAGTCTCTCTTGGTTGTTTTTGACATGATTCTATCAACAATATCTTATTCTACCATTCCTGTTCAATTTCGTCATCGCAGAGATGTTAAGAGATGCCATTATGTGTTCTGCAAAATGTTGGCCCACAAGGGTTAATCGGGAAAAGAGGCTACCCGATTTGATGTGCACTGACGAACGTCCGTAAAGTGCATTTAACAGGCCAACAGGTTCTATGCATCCTTTCGTTGTGCACTTTGCGCATTGGAAGCGTACTAACTCCTGGTGCTGTGAATTTCCTTGCTTCGAAACTCGATTTCTTCTCCTGTCCATTCGTCAATAATGGCGCTAGCGCATTTGAGCAGCTGACCACGCATAGTAATTACTCCAATGGAGCATACCGAAATAAAGATCCTTAAGTGTCGACCTGATGTATTTCTGAAGCTGAAAGCTTGCGTACGCTGTCACTGTGCTATCAGTTCTGTCTTGCGTTCATGAGTCCTCGGGTTTCTGTTTCTCGTGGGTTTTCAACCGTTCATGGTGCAGATAGTCTGGAGCTAGTTTATTTGTGGGTTTGTCACAGCCGGAAACTCATCCGATGCGAATAAGGAGACTTTCTTGGTCAGGATACGTAATCCGTATGCCTAACAATCGTGTAGCACGCTGTGACCTATTTGCGATTACTACCCCAGTTTATAGCGAAGCTCTTAGAAGTCCATGGGCAACAGATGCTAGTCATGGAGTAATTCACAGTAAGATGAGGTAATGTTTGTATCTCTCATCTTCCACATTAATGGTCCAAAGAACTGGTTACATACACTGAAAGACGCAGCACCGAACCGACAACAGTGGCCTGGTTGCATCGGATCAGGTCTCCTGTATAGTTCCCCTCGTTTTATCAGTTCACACTTCTTTTGCTCTGTACACCGTGCACATTGTTATACTGTATAGTATTGTTACCGAAATCAGCTATGCGGACCGTCTCTTTCGTGATATTTGTGAAAATCTACATATTTCTGTATATGAACATGGTACCATCTGCATTATTGATGTTTGTACATACTGGTGACAAATGTTAGAACGCGATGACAGACTCGGGAAACTGAGACCCCTTTTAAGGTATTTTGTCTCGCCTCTGAAATCCCCTTTTTATGCATGACTAAAATCATTCTCGTTCCCATCGTCATCCGAATTTTCATTCAAATTGAAATGAATGAATCGGTAATCCCCGACTGATTGTAAATCCAACTGTTTCTGTTAGAGTGAAGTGTGGCTGCTGGAACCTCATGCATGTTCCTGAACCCGTACTGATTCTTATTCTCTTAATATCTCTTTTGTGGGATGTCCATTTCCATGCATGCTTATGATAGGATGTCCCGTCCGTAATGTGGGCTCGACTATTGATGTGTCCTCTGTTATTGTCCGGAAGACGGTAAGATGTCAGTAGTCATAACGCTTCTCTCCGCACTTTATGACCTCTTATAAGAGCTGGGGTGCCTCTAAAGCTCGCTTAAGTTTCCTGTCATAGAAGTTCGTGGGTACTGTAGGATACTACAAATCCCAAGGGCAGAAAAGCTCCATGCCCCGCCGGGTTACGAGTAAGAGAGAGGTTTACTTAGGTTTTTAACCCATGAACAGATAGATATTGCTTAACTGCACAAACGATTGGGGACGATTAAAGCTGATCGGTGAGAATGTAATGGTTTTTCATTAGTCCTTTGAGCTTTTCAATTTTCTCTTCGATCCTACTTTCAACCTTTTCTGTCTTTCTTCTAATGTTCATCCGAATGGGCAGCCGATCGACAACAACCAAAACCGGCGCACGATAGTGCATGGTTAACAGTTGTACAAACTGAAACTGATGGTTTTTCATTGGACAGACGAACCGTCTTCCACAAAGTGCCATGAAATTCCGTAGAAAGAACCATTGCGATACCTGCAGATGTGGTGGGCAACACTGTTTTGATTCCTTACTGGTAGCCATTGGCTACACCAGGACTAGAGTGAAATACTAGAGGACAACAGTCTGGCGATAGTGTCACTCCCAATTTGTATACAACTACCGAGTTCGTTGGTGGTTTTTCACAAAGTCCAGTTATCCTATCTCAGACGAAGGTCCCTCAAATGTAAAAGAAGTAATCTACAAATGACCTTAGAATCGACAAATCACCATGATTTCTTTTTTTGTATGTATCGCTCATGTCTCTTCTGCCTGCCGGTTTTCTTTCATTTGCTGTCCGCATTTTGAAAGGTTATGGCTGTTCAGAGTTATTTTACTGGTCAGCACTTTGCCCTCTTACCTGGGACTCTGGAAGGTAAAAAGCCCTTACTTTTCAAACCGTGTTTAAGCATTGGTGTCAAAAATGTCTTTTTCTGGGGTGAAAGGTTTTCTTAACTAGGGGCAGTTCCAAGTGGAGACACTTGAAGAATCATTTACCATCTACGGTTCCGTGATAGTTGTCTATGCTGTCCGCGTTGGAAAGACGAATTTCTCCGACCGAATAAAACCCTATATATCATTCTGTAAGGGGTGTTACTCCTCCGTGGGGTTTGGTTTGTACGCTGTGGTGTAATACAAAGGAAGCACTTATGTCCTTGTAACGCCGTGGTGGTTGAGAGCGTTCATACCTTTTTCTCATAGTTACACTT